CCCACCCGGCCCTGCCTGCCTGGTCCCCACCAGCTTCAGACCTCAGCACAGACGTCACTCCTCAGGGATTTCTCCCAGACACGGCGCGTCCCACCCTGTTACTTGTTCCCATAACAACCAGTGCCGCTTCTTGGTGGCTCTTGGCTCACTTGCCGTCCACTCGTCCTTATGTGTGGAAACGCCTGCAGGCTCCCTGAAGGTGGAGCTGCCGTTGCATCCCAGGATTGTGGGCACAGGGTATAGACCCAGCGCTCAGTATGCGCATGCTGAAATGCCTGTCCTTGCCTCCCCAGCAGGCTGGTCTTGGGGCAGGGTGGGGCAGCGCTCAGAGGAGGGGGACATGGGCCCCTGAGAGCAGAGGCTGGGCTTGTCCCAGGATGCAGCCACAGTGGGAGAGAGGGAGGGAACACCATTATTGAACACCTACTAAATGTCAAGCACTGGACTGGGCACTGTACACACACTGCCAGCTTCACCATCAGCCCACAGGGACGATGGGAGCTGGCAGGGCTGACCTCACCCAGGCGGCCTTCCTGCCCCTTTGCTAGGCTGTAGGGCCCTGAGCTAGGGAGCCGGCAGGGCATGCCAGGGCCTCTCCTCTGTGCCCATGGGTGTGCGTATGGAGGACAGGTGAGTGTGTGAGTTACCAGCAGCTGCGCCGAAGGCTTTGTGACTGTGGGGATGGTGTGGAGGCAGGCCATCGGCACCAAGCCTGTCTTGCCCGTCCGGTCACTCTGGGCCAGGGTCCAGTTCTCAGAAGCCAGAAGCTCTTGCTTCTTTGTCAGGACCAACAAGTCTCCCTTCTTGAAGGGCAAGAGGGTGGCATCACCTGCAAGACCCGGGTACGGGGGGGAAGCCACCGTTCACAGAGGGCCCCGCAGGAGCCAGAGGCTGTGCTGCCACTCTCTGGATTGTCCCCCGACAGAAAAGAAACAGGCACCGAGTGGTGGGCACACGGCCACTCCGAGAGTGAGTGGTGGTGGGAGTTGAGCATCGGGGCCCCGGAGGGCTGGCCCCAGCACGGGTGCAGAGCCCAGGGTGGGCAGAAGCTTGGGACCTCGGACCACGGCCCCAGTCCTGGAGACCTGCAGAGGCCTGACCAGGAGCCGGGGCGCGAGGGAGGGGAGGAGGCACCGGCTGGCCGTCTCCATGCCTGGCCTGAGTGCCACGGGCCTTTCTGACCTGCTTCCTCACCTGTGCGATGCAGATACTAGCCCCCCCCCAGGTGTTGTTAGGACTGAAATGGATGGCAGGCAGCACATCCCAGACTTATGCTTCTCCCTGCCCTGAAGCCCCATGCGTGGCCACTTCCTCTGCATCCCAATAAGCCTTCTCCCTTCTGAAGGCCCTGCAGTGACCACACCCCCGCACTGTCCATTCCAGCCGAGGTCCTGGGGCCTTGCCAGGTGGCCTGGTTACCAGGGGCACGGACCAGCTCTCGCTGCAGTGCTGGCGTGCAAGAGAGCTGTGGCCCCAGACGAGACTCCCACCCCCAAGCTGTGTGACCCTGGGCAAACTGCTTCCTTCTCTGGGCCTCTGGTCCCACGTCTGTGAGATGGGATGACGGGGCGGCTGAGGAGACGGTGTATAAAGTCGCCGGGCTGGGGTCTGCCCAGTGCTTCTGCGTTGGTGCAGTTCCGAGCAAGGCTCGCCTTGGGGCTTGAGATGCCCCTTTCACCCCCATTTTGTAGACCTGAGGGCAGTGGCTACGAGAAGGCAGGGCTCTGGCCAAAGCCCCCTCCCCCCAGAGCTCTGCGGCCCCTTCCCTTGGCCCATGTCCCCGGGCCCCGTGCTGGGCCGTGTGTGTGTGAAGGTGAGCACACA